AGTATTTTTAAGCATATTTGCAAAAATTAGACTTTTTTATTCAAAATTTTCTAAGATATACACGAATTTACATTTAATTTCGCGTTTTGAAATTTGGCACCTTTTTTTTGAGCGATAATAACGCCAAATGTGGTCTATGGATTTTTGTTACACTTGAAGTGCCACAGCTATTTTTTAACCTGTAAACTTCAAAGTAAAATTTTACGGAGAATTTAATTATATGACATATTTCCCTCAATGATACGTAATAAATATTATTAATACTATATGAAAGGCTATTTTTTAAATTATAGATGATATTATTCAAATTTTTAACTATTTTTTTAAAATTTCTCTCGTATCTTTTCTTTTTTAAAAAAATTTAAGAGTAAGTTTTTGTAAGAGTAAATTTTACCTTCGGCGTTTTATCGTCTGCTACTTTACTTCGTTTAAATCGAATTGTCTAAAACTGAGAATTTTCGTTTGATATTCATTTGAATTTTTATGACATTAACTGCATAATTTATTTCTAAACAAACTATTGCTTTTGAAGTGGCTGAAAGAGCGGCTGATACTATTACCATAATTTTAAAGCACAATATATTTACAGAAGAAACATAATATTTAGAATAATTTTTTTTATAAAAGTCAAATTATGATATAACATACAACCCTCTAGAGGACTGAATTAATGGAAGTTCAATGGGTTATGTAGAAATGATCTGCAGCTACTTAATATCTGGATAAGTCAGCAGATTCTGTGGACAAGTAAGAATAATTATATAAACGACACCAACATTCTGGATTCAATAAACAACGAGGATGCGATGTTTACTAAATGAATTTAAGAAGTTTTAAAACATAAAAAATCAACTCATTTTTTTCCTAAAATGTATTTTTGTGCGTAGCGTATTTTCATTATATCCTTAAAATTCTAATTTAGAATGTAATTGTCAAGAACTGAATCCTAATCATCAGTAATATAATAAGTAATTATTACGGTTATTAATAAATCCTTCTTATAAAGTAATTGCAAATATTTCAAAAAACTTTCTGTCTGAATGCAAACATTTTTCTATGCAAATATTTTTAATTTTATATTAATCAAGATTGCAAACCATATTACTTATTTCCACTTCAATTCTTACCGTCAGTTCTAGTAGAATTTACAAATCAATTATATTTAATTAAGGATTTGATTGGATTATTTAATTATGGCAAAGCACACAAGGGCTATCTGCCTAAAGGGAGGGATGCCTTCGTGGAGGATTTTCTAAGGGAAACTGGCTCGTATACACGTTACACATGGGGAAAACCACGAAAACACCCATGCAGCCAGCCCGTTCGCGGGATTCGAACCTCGGACCGAACTACCAGTGTTCAGCGACTTTACCGCTCGGCCGCTGGTGGGCTTGACTAAAATATGAATAACATTTTAAGAAACCAAATGTAGGATAAAATTGTGTAAAGCAATGGGCACAATGATAAAACTGTTTAAAGCAGTGTATGCAAGTCATCCTAAGTTAAAATATCGGTTATACATCTCTCTTATTTATATATATTTTTTCTGAACGGAACATTGAAAGGCGTGTAAAACTGTGCTTTACTGCATTTTCTCTTTTAATATAGTATGCAGTTTTCAAACGCATCGTAGTGTGGGTTACAAAGTATTCTTCCGAAAAAAACGCAGTTCAAGTAAATAAAATCAAATTCTGGAAAATTGATATTAATAAATATATTTAAAATGCTCAGTTTGAAGGAATAAATAGAAAATTTTAAAACAATTATCTGAAGAGACAATGCAACACAAACAATTAAAATAAAAGTATAAAAATTTAAAAATGACCTAAAATAATAGCTATGACGAAAAATATATACGAAGAAAACTATTTGAAAAAAAAAAAAAAAATAAAATAAAAATAAAAATAAACGCTGCACCTTATTTATTTAAGCAGTTCGAATAGGTAAATAGAAATTTTTTAAAACAGATATTCGGAGGGAAAAAAAAAAAAAAAAAAAAAACTTGCAACTTAAACAATTAAAATGAAATTCGAGAAAGAAAAAATTACTTAAAATAATAAGTTATAATTAAAAATATAATATAAAGAATATTATTTGGAAAAAAAGGAACGATGGTGACTTTTTTTCCTAAGGAAAACTAGGTTGCCATATATTAAGAAGTTCGCCAAGTGAAGTATTCTTGGCGCAAACTGACAAAACAGTGCCAACATAAATTTGTGAATTTTCTCCATAAATTTCGCTCTAAATTTTACACAAAATTTCATATTTAGGCGTAATTTGAGTCGTAGAATCGAAATATGTAAAATAATTGGTATGTTATTTCAGAAAAAGTCCGATTTTGTGTCAAAGTACCTATGTTAGAATAGTGCTATATATAAATCTAATATATATCCTAAGTCGCGCTTTCGAGACATGAAGAACGCAATTTGAATTTTGTCAATCGGCCCAGTAGATCGGGAGATATAGGACTGTCCCCCCTTTTTTTTTTTTTTTTTTTTGGAGCAGTGTACATACACAGGAAAAAACATCATGAAAAAATTCATTTTTAATCCATTTTACAATTTGTCTTGCAAAATCCTTTATTCTGTCCATATGTACAGTTGCCACACAAAAAGAAATTAATCGAAATGGATTCTGGAATGGTCAAAATAGATATTTCCTTCAAAATATAAAACCTGAAATCTTTTGCAATCACAACAATTCCTTTACTTCGTACAAAGATATAAAAATAATGCTGATATTAATTTATTTTGCATTAGTTTATACAAATGTATTAACTGAAAGGGCAAAAAAGCATTTTTAAATCAGCAGAAATGTTTTATAAAAAATGTAAATTATACACCAATAATAAAGCTTCTGGAAATAATATGTGTATAAAGCCAATAATAAACAGCTTTACAAACTTCTCAAATAATTTTGAAAACAACTTTTTTACTGTTATTTTTTTCTAAACATAAAAATTTATACTTTATAATGAAAACAAGTGATCTTGGCATATCCAAAATTAGAGAAGAATTAATCTCAATTCTGAGGTAACTTTGAAGATACCGCTCATAAAATGGCAGGAAAACACAGAACTGTAAGAAAAAGCTTAGCAGATTATCATTCATCACCTTAAATAACATAGAACACATTGTAATATAAAATTTTGCTTTAAAATCCTTGCATTTATTTATATGTTTTACTGCTCAAATACTTCTCAGGAGTTATACATGAGAACTATCTGAAACAGCCTCTTCAAGATAATTAGTTGCCTAAATGACATGCTGTTAATGCAGACATATATTCAATATTTATTAGCTAAACTGGAGCCCCTCTCCCCAAAACAGGGTAAATAACAACATTTCAATTAATAAGTAAAAATGATAAAGACGATGAGAGAATGCAGTTTAATGACACTAAAACTGCAAAATATGCATCAGCAAACATGCTGTTAAAAACATTGATGACAGTGATTTAATAACATTCCTACCTAAATTACAGATTTATTATAAACATAAAATTCACTGTAATAAAAAATTTGCAGTACTAAATTTACAGCAGATTAACTATCAAACAAAATATAAAATTCAATGCTTAAAATACATAAGACCAAGTAAAATGTTTAATTTCTAGGGCATTTCTGAATCATTGCATACTGCTAAATTCATCTTTATTTTGCATTTAATTGATTTCAATATATATAATATATATATATATGTGTGTGTATATATATATATATGTATATAGAACCTTATAACCATGAATAAAACTTATAAGATTACAGAAATAAAAATCCATGATGCATATGTAAATGCATATTAAGGGAAAAAAAAAATAAAAGCATGCATTAAATATAAACATTTTGCAAATAAATTAGTTAAAGATGAAAAAACACAACTCGTCAGGTACAAAATGATTTATCAATGAAAAGCAGATAGACAAGTACAAAAATGTCAGTTCACTGTAATACAAACTGCTGCCAACCTTAAAATATGAAAAACCAGGGTTTTTTTGTCCTGCATGGTGATGTCATTTTAAAAGAATTTTAAATTAAGAAAAATTCATTTTATAATGCATTCATTCAGGTTACTGAGCTATATATATTATGACTCTGACATAATATACAGTATTTAATTTGATATACTAAATTTTACATTATTCGGTTAAATTCATTTCGTAACTCAAAGGAGAATATTCTAAGGAGAAAAGGAAAATTTATATTATCAAAGAATATTAAATACAATGAAAATAAAATTAATAATTAACATAATATTATGTGAATAAATTGAGTAATGTAACACAAAATTTAAAAAAGTAATAAATACAAATATTAACCCTCTCGTTATATATCCTGCGATTTCCACGGGCAACGTAAAAGTACCAAAATTTGCGCAACACATGATTTCCGTGAGGATAAATTTTTGCCGTCTATTTATAGGCAACTCGCTCTTTTCCCGTTCAAGGTTTCCTTTCAGCTGTGGTGTTTAATTGTTTATTCAGATGTGGGCTAACAGATGGCGTTACTTGTCCACATTTCTGCCAAATATACAAGATTACGTAATGTAGCACTTTGCGCACGCTTTTCAGAGCTCAGAGATGTCTGGCAGGATGTGTTTCGAGAGGGATATAACCTATATTCCTGACGATATTTCTGACACTGATAGTAGTTCTGACTCTGATTTCAAGTATATTGAAGATAGTTATAGTGAAACTGATGAGAATATCTTGGATTCCTCTGCGGATAGTGAAGAATCTGAAAATTCAGTTTCTATTGAAAATGTTCGATAGTGGTGCAAAATATTACATTATGCAAATATTTTCATTAGTATATATGTTTTACGTTTGTATTTTATAAAATAAATCATAATTTAACCAATATTAATTTTCAGAATTTTCCTTTAATATCATTATTCTTCAATTTCAGTATTCTGACATTCTATATTGAAAAAAAAAAGTCTTTTACAAAAACTTTTTGTATATTTTAACTCTAAATATATTTTAACTATATTTTAACTCTAAAATAAGATATTTTAACTCTAAAATATATTAAAGATTTGAAATATGTAATACAAAATATGTAATTTTTTAACCTATTTTGACAAAAAAAGTATGCAGGTTAAGTGATTAAATATTTGTTGAATCTTCACGTAAAATTCTGCAAGAAACTACAGTACATAAGACAATTGTGATAAAAACAAATTTTATAAGGAAAATTAAGCTGCAAATCATTAGGACGTGGGCAAATGAAATTATCACTATTTAAATTTTACTCATTTATTGGAGGCAGACACTTTCGTAAGTAAAGGCTAAACATTATAAACTAGAAGAGTTGATGATCTATTACGAGATAAATGACGAAACACTGAGAGCATCTCGCTAAAATCAGGAGGTTGGCAGCTATGCAAACAGTGAGTACTCCTAACACCTATGTACTGTTTTCACATAATTGTTTTAAATAATGATGACTAGTTTCAGTCGTAATGATTTCAGAAGAGATTTAATTGTGAAACAAGCAACATAACTTAGCAAAAAAAAAAAAAAAAAAAAATATATATCTTACACATGGTCAGATTTTCAGACAGCTTTGCACTGCGACCAGAATTCAGATATAAGTAATAAAGAAATGGCCTTAAAATTTTGGCTTACTTTCAATTAAGGGGAGGGGATTTTGGTACTTTTTGATTATTCAGACCCCCACTTGAACATTCAATAAAACTGCTACATTTTTGGTGCATTTTCAAGTACATACACAGCAACAGCCAATCCAAACACATGCAACGTGTGTGTAATGTGAATTCATATGTTTTATACTTAATTCTCATTTTGCTAATAAGCACTTTTTATCTGCCAAATAGATTTATCCCTCCTTGTAAATTTTCTCATTTAGAATAAAATGCTTCTTTTTATTATTATTTATGAATAGAACAGTACCTATGAGCCATAAAGATAGCCAAACAAATGCTTTTTATTAATTTATGATGTTGACAATAATTTGTACGGGTAAAGTCAGAAAGCACTAAAATTTTTTTCAAAGTAGGCATAAGTCACTCATTGTGAACTGAAAATTACACCTTAAAATGAAAGTTAAACACACAAACTTTATAGTTATCTATTTGCTCTATAACTGGTATCAATAGAAAATTAGAAAACCATAATTACGTTAACACATGCATAAGTTTAGAAACGTATACAATAAGACATTGAAAACTCTCATAGCAATCCTTCTAAAAGTGACCAGTATTTATGAGAATATAAACAAACATTGGTACTGAGTATCAACATCAGTCATGTTCTCTAAGGCAGTCACCTTCACCAAAGATCAAAATTAGTTACCTTGGAAGGTTTCATCACATTTTAATAACTATTTACTCCCCCCCTCCAAAATGCAATTCATGCAATATATTTACCAAAAAAATTACTTTTACAAACACTTTTTTTGATATGCCAATGCATTCAAGTAATATTCGGTGGACCTAAAAAAACGGCACAGCTCCTAAAAATAAATAAAACTTATAACTTTGCATATATACGTAGGTTGATCCAAAAAAAGTTTACAAGCAGAAGCATTTGAAACGTAATAATTGTGGAGTGAATATTTCCACCCAGGGTGGTTGACAGATGGCGCTAGTTGTCCTACAGCGGTTCTACGAGTAAGTAGCGTCATTACGCAGACACTTAAGAGCGACAGTAATGGCACGGCGTCTAGAAAAGTGGTCTCGCATAGAGGTGGCGAGCCGCAATTCGATTCTTATGGGCCAAGAATGTGGCCGCATCCGAAATTCCCAGACAAATTGTTGAGGTATACGGGGACAAAGCAATGAGTAGACAACAGGTAGCGAAATGGCGTCGTTCTTATCAAGTGGGCAGGGAGCATGTGGAAAACCGCAATATGGAAGCGAGCAGCCATCCAAGTTCTTCAAGGACGGATATCAACAGGGCACGTGGTTAAAGATATCATCCAAAGGGATCGACGTGTAACCGTGCGTGAGATTGCCTCAGAGTTGAACCTGAGTTATGGTAACGTTCAGTGTATCGTAACCGATGAATTGCGATATTCCAAAGTTTGTGCCCGCTAGGTTCCACGTGAGTTGTCCGCGGAGCATAAGGCCACTCGAATGATGTGCAGCCTCACATTTCTTCAGCGATACCATTCAGATGGCCAACACTTCATTGATCGCATCGTTACCGGTGATGAAACAGGGCTTCATTACTTCACCCCCACATCCAAAAGAGCCACAATGGAGTGGAAACATGCTGGATTACCGACAAGGAAGAAATTTAAGGTCACACCTCTGCCGGTAAAGTGATGGCTCCAAGTGACTATTTCATTTATCCGGCGTTGAAGCGATACTTATCCGGAACACGGTTCACCTCAGACGATGCAGTGAAAACAGCTGCCGAGAAATGGCTTAATGAGCAGGGCCCTGGTTACTACCAAAACGGGATAAACAAGTTGGTCGAACGTTTTGACAAATGCCTAAACAGGTTTGGTGACTATGTGGAAAAGTGAAGGCCAGATGTGTCTCTTGATTTCCATTTGTATCTTGCTTCTATTGTTAATAAATACTTTTTCATTTGCCTTGTAAACTTTTTTTGGACCACCCCTCGTATATTTAAATAGATAAGAAAAACATATAATAGATATACTTAGATAAGAATGGTTCCATGACCAAAACTAAATGATCATTTGGCAATTTTCATTAACAGAACAATGGTAAACAATAAAAAAGTAGTACAATAAATAACATAATAAAAAGTAAAACGAGAGCTAAATGACACTATGTACAAAATTCAGAAATCTATAAAACAAAATTGTCAATATGATCATTTTATGATTAATGACAGAATAAATAAAATTAAAATAAACACTGGATTACAAAAATGAGTCATTTTAAAACATTCTGCAAGTCTTCTGGTAACGTCTTAATAATGTTATTTACATGGGACTGAAGCTTATCAATTGTTTTATCAGGCAGAGAAAAATTGCCGCTTTCAGCTGCAACCTGAAAAATAATAAAATATTATAGGTATTTATTAGATAAACTGAGCAAAAAAAGGGAGGGACAGTTCTATATCTCCCATTCTATTGGGCCGATTGATGAAATTCAACTTGCATTTTTCATGTCTCGAAAGTGCGACTTGTAAGAGGATATGCATTAGATTTATACACTCACTTCCAAAAGTTAAGCACGGAGAAGAAAATGCTAATTTCCGGAAACCAATCAGAATTGAAAAGTATGCAATTTGCTGCAGAGGTAGATGGAAGTATGCAAATAGGTTAGGTAACAGCCAATCGCGTTTTCATGTCAAGAAATATGCAAAAAAAGGCAGTCTTATAAGAAGTCAGCTTTATGAAGGGTTACAGAAGTTGATTGTAAGTGCTGATAGAAGGTGTTTAAAACTTTTGTACAATTTGTTTTTAAGACATACGTGTTTCTATGACTTCCAGAAGATGGATGGAAGATTCTGAGCGCTGGCGTGCTGTGGGGCACATTGAAGCAGGATAGTCGATCACAGATGTTGGTCTTTTCTTCGGCTTTCATCATTCTGTAATTTCACGTTTATGGAAACATTTTCAAACCACACAGACAGTTGTACGAAGGCCCGTAGCCGGTCGCCCAAGGGTTACAACCCCTGCGGAAGATCGATATATTGCTATTGTAGTCAAGCGGAATCGCAAAGCAACCTCCATATGTGTGTCATCTATGGTTACAGCGTCCATTGGTAAGGTGATATCTGAAGCTATTGTACGCCAAAGATTACATATGAGTGGACTATACACCAGGGTACCTCGTTTGTGTTCCTCTATCTGTCCAATCAAGAGGGGCACGATTACAGTGGTGCTGGGAACATGTCAATTGGAATGTGTCTAACTGGGGCAATGTCATGTTTACTGATGAGTCAAGATTTGCTCTGGAGCCAGATGAAAAGCATATAAGGATATGGTGTGAACAACAAACATGCAATCAGTCCCAAAACATCACCGAACATCCCACATTCCGAGGTGGAAGCATTATGGTGTGGGCAGGGATTTCATTAGGTATCAAGATGAAATCCTAGAACTCATTGTGAGATTGTATGCTGCAGCAGTTGTCCCTACTTTAATAAACGATAACAAACGTATCGTTGATGACTACAATGTAGAGTGAAGGGATTGCGCGTATGGCATGGCCAGCATATTCTCCCGACCTTAATCCCATTGAAAATCTTTGGGATGCTCTCACCCCTGCTTTATCTTCGTGTTTCCCACTTCCAGCCACTCTTATTGAGCTGGAAACTGCTCTACAAGAAGAATGGCGATTGCTTAATTCTGCTGTGGTTGACCACCTAATTGAAAGCACGGTCACAAGGTGTAAACTTTGTATACAGATGAGAGGGGATCACATACCCTATTAATGTCCTTTTTTTTTTTTTTTTTTTTTTTTTTCATTTTATGCTGTTTATTTTGCACTGTATGCATAATTCTGTTTAAGTTTCCAGTATGTCATTATCTGATAAATTGTTTTCATTTCTGTATATAATTATTGATCTTGTTTTATGCATAAATATATATGTTACTTTCCTGCCGAATTTTGTGTCAATCAAAGCAGTATTTGTTGATTTTTTTGCATTTTACATCTTCGTGCTTAACTTATGGAAGTGAGTGTATATAGTATTGCTTTAACATAGGAATTTTGACACAAAATGCGAATTTTCCTGAAGTGACATGCCAATTTTTTCTTCATACTTCAATTCTGCATCTTAAATTATGCTAAACTGCTACGCTTTGTAACAATCTCACTAGTAGTTTTTAAAAAAATTAGCTCTCAAAATTTTAGCGCCTCAATGTTAATTGAATTTGCTACATATTTATTAATATCTCCTTTTTTATTAAACTTATTTGATTCTTCCTTTTATATTTCGAAATTTATGTTCACTCCAAATAAAATTCACCAATTTTTATGATTTATTTTTTAAATTTGTATTTTAAAATAACTTTTATAAATTTTTCGAAAACAATTTTGAATTATAACCAATACAATTTTTGCCCTCATCTTAAAAGTAGATGTATTTCTAAGCATACCTGCAAAAAATTAAAGAGTTTTTTTATTCAAAATTTCCGAAGATATACATGAATTTACAGATTGGCACATTTAAAAATTTGGCATATTTGTTATAAGTGATAATGACGCCAAATATGGTTTACGCACTTTGTTAAAATTATTTGAAAGCATGAGCGATGACTTCTCCCCCTTCGTGTACATGAAAAGAAGAAAAGGAAAATATGTTTCTGTAAATTAAGAAGTTTGCCTCGAACCTACGAGATGATGAAAACAGTATTTGGAGATGAGGTGATGAGTCGTGCTCGGATTTTCGAAAGGTTCCGGCGATTCAAGGAGGGTCGGAAATCAGTGGACAGTGATCCCTGTTATGGACGCCTGTCCACCTCTCGCAATGAGGACAAGATCGCACAAGTGCAAGCTGTGATGCACCCTGATCGTAGTTTGACAGTCTGAGAAATTGCACAGGAGTGTGGCATTTCCATAGGATCATGTGATGCAATTTTGAGAAAGGACTTGAACATGCGCCGAGGGTCTGCAAAGCTTGTGTCGCGTCTCCTCACTGAGGATCAGCAATTCCAATACTGGCAATCTCATCTGATTTGTTTCAAAGTGCGAACGACAATCCGGAGTTCATGAAGCTCATCATCACTGGGGATGAGTCGTGGATTTACGGATACGATCCCGAAACAAAGCAGCAGTCGCCACAATGGAAAAGCCCCGAGTTTCCTCTGCCAAAGAAAGCACGGCAGGTGCGAAGCCAGATCAAAGTCATGTTGCTTGTGTTTTTCGATGCAGATGGAATTGTTCATCATGAGTAAGCTCCCCAGGGCCAGACAGTGAACAAGGAATTCTACTTGGACGTCATGAGGAGATTAAGAAAGGCTGTTTACAGAAAACAAACGGTGTTGTGGGCGTCCTCTCGCTGGATGCTTCATCATGACAGAGCCCCAGCACACACCAGCAATCTTGTGCAGCAGTTCCTGGAAAAAAATGGAACAATCCAAGTAGTACATCCTCCCTAATCGCCGACATGTCACCTCCAGATTTCTTCCTCTTTCCCTAGATCAAGAACACCTTAAAAGGACACCCGTTTTAGGACTTTGAGACCATAAAACAGAATTCGACGCAGCAGCTTCAGGCCATCCCAAAGTTGGAGTTCCAGAAATGTTTCGAGGACTGGAAACATCGTTGGGCCAAGTGTGTCACTGCCAATGGAGCATATTTCGAAGGAGATTGACTCAAAATCTGTTTTGCATAATAAATTCAGTCTCGATACTTTCTGAACTGTCCTCGTATATATCATAGACTTTTGGTAATTTAAATAATTTTTCTTTGAAAAATTCAAGTAGGTATACGATGTTCAAATTGATTAATTATTGTTTGATTAATGTAAGAATATTTCTACATATTTTATTTATCAGTGGGCTTATTTCCATGTGAGCAGACTTCTAAGTGAGCATTTTTCCATGTGAATATTTTTCTGTGTGGGCATATTTCTGTGTGGGCGTTTTCCTGTGAGCATTTATACCTGTGAGTATTATTCTGTGAGCATTATTCCCGTGGGCTTTTTTCCTGTGGTTTTTTTTTCTTTTTTTCCCTAGAACCAAATAAAACTCATTTGATCATGATCAAATCTGACAAGAGCAATCAGAAAACATAAAGAGCAGTTTAACACTGAAGAGTAACAATCCACATATTTAGCAAACAAAGGAAACACCAAATATTAGTATGTTAATTGCTCTGGAAAAAATGCTTGAGAATACTTAAAATAATATGGACTCATACTGTTGCTGAATGCTGCCCTGCAAATTTAAAACTACATAGTCTATAATTGTACACTAAATTTTTGTGCAATATGAGATATCTACAACCTCTGTCCTAATAAATAGAATAGAAATAATAATAGAAATTCTGCTTTATAACATTTGTTATCTTGTTTAAATTTTAGAGCCAAGATATTGGAAAGTCTGCTGAATCAAAGGTAGACATTTTAAAACAAGACAGATGAAAATTAAAATATTTTAATATTATTTTCATGAAACATGTAATTTTACTACATGGTTATGATTTTAATGACATCAAAATGCTTTTTTAAAATATTCATGGAGTTCACAAATCATCATTAAAAACAAACACATTAAAACCCCTATTTGGCAATCCATAACACAAGAGTTCATATTGCAAAAAGGGAATATGTTAATTTTGGCACAATAAAGAGAACAAATTTAAATGACAAGCTGAATGCCCACCAGTACCATGAGTGTACTTTAAATTAAGATCAGTTAACAGATTGCCTAGTGGCAAAATTTTCAGCATCTTAACAAACAATTGCAAAATTTGTAAAAAAATAATTTTATGCATAAGTCTTAAAACTGCACCAATTTTGGTATAAGTTATGAATGATCCATAAAAGTTAGCAGATATACATTATTCGTAGGTATATAAATCTTACTAGTCTAACAGAAAAACCGCCTCAATAACCAACCACCATTGTCAACCTTCTTTCATTTCTTTTATTTAGTTATTCTTATTTGGCTGGTTATATCTTCTGCAAAAGTGGTGATGAAGCAGGGGTAATTGAACTCTCTACATAAAAATGTGGCCCTCCTCAGATTTTAGATTTAATTGGTTGTTAATTGATATTGTTTTAAAGAAGTTATTAAGGATTTTTAAGAACTGTATGAACTTAAATTTTCCACGAAAATAACGTTACAGGTATTGCTATTACAATGCTAAAATCCTGAATCTGCAAAACCACTGTTTTGAGTAAAACATACTTAAGACTACTTTGAACAAAAATAAATTATGTTGTAAATTATTAAATCATAGATCCTATGAGTATTTTTAAAACAGCATGAAACATCAAACTATTACCATAGAAATGTACTTAATAAAATCAAAAGAAACTAAAAAATGCTGATTTGTTATTTTTGCATAATACTGATGGCATCACAAGCCCTTTTCAAAAAACATTTTTCAAGACAAAGACTAATAGGTAGAAGGATACAGAAGGATATTACACCACTTTTCTTTCAATGTTATTGAAAAATTATAAATTTTATACTTCAGACACTATAAAAGCATTTAGAAATTTAACTCTAAATTGGACAATGAGGTTATTATTTAATTTTATGAAATTTTTGCCTTTCTCACTACATGTCTTTATGTTGTAAAAGATAGCATATTTGGTTGGCAATCAGAATATCTACAGTTTGAATCTCAAGCAAGGATTTAGCTAACATTTCTTGCTCAAAAAAATTCTAGAGAGCTTCAGATTGATGCCTGACTAAAATATAGTGGATGATAATTCATATCATCTATATTTCACAACCAAGTCACTTCTTTCCCAGTTGATTTTTAAGTGGGGAAGAATGTATGGAATTTTTGCCTTTGTTCCTACATGCTACTGTAGTATATACAGTAACACATCTAGCTAGCAATGGGAGGGTTCAGAGTTTGAATCTTATGAGTGCATAGCTGATTATCTTATGTTTCCCGGTTTCAAATAAATATCTAACAAGTTTTACACAATGAGTATTTTAAATATTAATTACTCAAGAAACATGAAAGAAAACTTCATAAGTGAAACGAGAAAATATATTAAAATCAAATATTCTATCATAAATCTATAAATATTCCCATGTTACTTACCAATTTATTCCGCAACCTTAAAACAAGATCAACAACCTCAACTTCTTGTTTATCTTGAATCCACTCAAGCATGTTCTAAAAAAAAAAAAAAAAAAAAAAAAAAAAAAAAAAAACTTTAATTAACTACATATTTTCCAAAAATATAACCTGAAATGTCAAACTGATGATTTTTTGAAAATTTAGAGAGTAATTAACAATGGTTTAAAATGCTGCAATAACTACTGAAGTTCTAATTTTAGCCCTCCCACTTAAATATGATCAATCAAAGAGTTATATTTATGAGACATCCCCATAGCTTCCTTTTTAATCTCAACCAGCTAGTACCAAAAATATAGTAATTATATTTTCCTAAAATTGAATTTTGAAAGACATTATATACCTCTTTGGTAAGACATTTCATGTCTACATAAAACATAAGGAAAGAAGAACAAACTTACAGCATCTGAGATGGCTTGTATATGCAAACCTTGTAGCTTATGAACAACTTCTTTGTACCTTGTATTATACCAACCGGCAAAATTGGCACTACGGAAAAAGCGCCTAAAACAAGAAGAAAATGTTTTAATTTCTGACTCCCCAATCTCTTAAAATTTATTTAAAAGTAATAAACGTTAAAAAAATAATTTGTTATGAAAAGCAAAATATATGTAATACAGTCAAAAGTCTTTAATCCGGACTTGGGCGATTCCGGATTAACAGTTTTTCCAGATTATAGATCATCAGTTTAAATCTGGTAAGATGGCATGCAGAAATTATAAAATTAAAAATATGAAACCGTAACTTATGAAATAAAGAGCAATTATGATCTAAAAGGTATCAAATTTACAAAAAAAAAAAAAAAAAAAAAAAAAAAACTTTATATATATATTGTTTACTTTTATTAAACATTTCTTTCAATGCACGCATGTGTAAAGCATACATTATGCATAGTCAAAATTAGAAAATTGGAACCAGAAAACTATTTGATGTGTATTCGTGATATTTATAATGATGAGGAATTTGATTTAAATCATATCAAAGACGGAGTACATCGAGATGAAAGACTACATTTAGTAAGGAATTATAAGCTAATAAAATAAAAACACCTGCCCTGAAGATAAGGATAGTGCTGACAGATTAACTTCCAGTTCAGTGCTCGCAGCGTTGCCCCCCCTCCCCCACAGAGCACTGTGAAATTGATAAACATATTTCAGAATGATTAGAGAATCAAAGGATATGCCTTTATCTATTTTTTGAAGCAATTCCACTTTTGTTTGACATGGAAACATGCTTTTCGCTTCGTGATCCTTTGGCAGCTCCAGGATCTGAAACTCTTTTTTGACATAATCCGAAAGTTCAAGCTTACTTTTTATAAAATTACTCTAACAGTTTGCAAAAAAATAATAAGCCAGATCCAATTAGAGATTAAGCAACAACACAATCTGCAACATTAACTGAAATAGATAATTATTAATTAATTTTAATTAGATAATTTTAGCTTAGCTTATACCGTCTGTCATACATTAAACGCGCATGCGTAAATGTATTATGCACATGCGTTGACGCATGCGCAGAAAGTTTGTAGCTTTGAGGTTCGGATTATAGATCATTCCGGATTATGGACATCTGGATTAAAGACTTTTGACTGTATATACCTAACAACTAATTATAGTATTTACATGTTAAAACAACAAGGTTAAAACAAGGATGTTAAAACAACTAATTATAGTATTTACATGCTATTGCAATCACCTAGGTAGATGTCTCCAAATTTTCAGAATGTGCTATAACTCCAGCAACCATGCTCAACAATCCTTTGGTCAAGATACATCCCCATTTTTTTATATGTTCTTTTTCTTTTACTCGATTAGTTTTTATAAACAAATCATGATATTTTTGGGCCTTAAAATTTACAAGTGCTGGTGGAATTTAAGCAGCAATAGAAGAAAGTGAAAATTCGACAGGAATAACGACATTTTGCCATCAAATCACTAATCATTAAGGTAATTGCCATGAAATTTCCAGAAGGAAAAAAAAATATAAATAATAAATAAAAACTAACTTGTAGGTTTATTGATTGATTTTGGGGATAAATACCTAATATTAGCATGCAAATATATATGCAGTAATGTTTGTGATTGTAATAAGTACATTTTTGCAACTAAATCTGTAAAAATGAGTCTGTAAAAAATACCTTATTAATCTTATTCTAAGTTAAACGTCTGTTAATGTGTTGAAGAAATGTATTTCATTTACCATTTCATGTACACTGTGCAAAAAAAAGGGGGCAGTTTTATATCTCTCATTCTACTGGGCCGATGGACAAAATTCAAATTGCATTTTTCATGTTTCGAAAGCCTGAATGCTATATATTAGATTTATATAAAGCTTTGTTCTAACATAGGTATATTTTGACACAAAATAAGTCTTTGTCTGAAATAACATACCAATTTTTTTTTTTACATATTTCGATTTTACGACTCAAATTATGCCTAAATATTAAATTTCGTAAAATTTGGTGCGGAATTTATGGAGAAATTCAAAACATTAGCTTGGCAGATTTTTTCAATTTGCACCACGAATAATTCACTTGCGAATTTCTTAATATATGGCAACCTATTTTCCTTTTACTTACACTGTGAAGGAATGGAAAAAAAGTCACATCGTTCCTGCTTTCAAATAATTTTAACAAAGTGCATAAGCCACATTAGACCTTATTATCGCTTTCAACAAATATGCCAAATTTCAAAATGCGCCGTATATCGTCGGAAATTTTGAATAAAAAATTCTAATTTTTTGCAGGTATACTTCAAAATTTTTTTCCAAAAATTTATAAATTATTTAAAAATACAAATTTAAAAAATAAATCATAAAAAATGGGTGAATTTTATTTGGAATGAAACTAAATTTTGAACTGTGAAAGAAGGAATCAAGTAAGTGTAATAAAAAAAAAAAAAAAAAAAAAAAAAAGAGATATTAATAAATACATACCAAATTGAATTAACACTGAGGAGCTAAAATTTTGACAACTAATTTTTAAAAAACTAGTCATGCGATTTTTTACAAAACTTGGCACTTTGGTATGATTTGAGTCATAGAATAGAAATATGCATAAAACATTGGCATGTCATTTCAGAAAAAGTCCAATTTTGTGTCAAAATACCTGTATTAGAACAATGCTATATACAAATCTAATACATATCCTAAGTCGTGCTTTCGAGACATGAAAAACGTAAGTTGAATATTGTCAATCGGCCCAGATATAAAATCGGCCAGAGATATAGAACTATCTCCCCCCCTTTTTTTTTTTTTTTTTGCACAGTGCACCTTATTTCACAGATGATATCTATATCTTTTTTAAAAATTTCTAGTGTATAGCAAGAAATGCACAGACTGTCAACAGGAATAGCATCAGTTTGTTTGTAAGGAATGCTGGGAAACATAGCATATGTGCAAACTTATCAGCATGTACACTTTGAAATGAGATTGCTTTTGAAATGAGATTTTTTCACTTTGAAATAGTCCTTATTTTAAAATAAATAGTCCTTATTTTAAAATAAAAATTCTTCCACATAAAAAATAATTTCGAACTTTCTAACTGAGCAGTCAAGAAAAAGTACAAGTGTTTTGAACACTTATAATAAAATCGGTAAGAATGTTTCATTCAATTGCTTACTTAACCAGTTTTGTTCATTGAAATTGCTTTATAATTAATTTAAATTATGTAATGAAGTTAAACTATATATTGCTTTGTAATTAGTTTTAATTAAAGTAAGCAAATATTAACGTAACTCGCGTATGTGATTAAAAAATTAAATTTCTGAAGAGATGATATGCAATTAAAAATGTAACAATATTTTTTTAATTAGTCTAAAATCATATTTAAAAAAGTTAAAATCTTCAAAAAAGTCTTTTTTTATCACAGATCTGTATCATAAATATTTGGTTTTAAATCTAGCTGTAGCACAGAAGAAAAAAAAATCCACATAAGCTTCTAAGGCACAATTACACGAACATTCCGCAGGATTTAAAATCTTCTAAAATTAAAATTACCTATACAAACCACTCCAGTTCCCTTTAATTCCACTTGTCAACTGAGGTCCTGCCTGTTCTATTGATTTTATAAAATCATCAGGATTAAAGGGCCGAGGAACAGGTGTGTCCTTTAAAATGAAAGATTCCATTAATTCTTTAGCAGTTGTTATGAAACATACATTTAAAGAATTATTATTAAATAAAACTGATTTGTAAACACATAATCTTCAGAAAGAATTAATATTTATTATCACACTGCATAATATTTCAGGTTGGACACATATCTTAACCAATCAAGTAAAGGATGCAAGAGATTTTGCATGCCCTTTGTACATTCTGTTGGAAAGAAGAAAAGATTTTCAAAGGAAAAATTTCTCTCTCTTTTTTTTAATACAATTCATAAGAAAGCTATGAACAGCAATTTATACTGAAAGAATATGAACTTTGATTAAAATTATTAGTATTTAATCTTCAAATTCATTGACCCATTAATAAGGAATATATACCATGGGAAGATCATTTTTATAGTATTATCACTGCATAGCTAATATTAATCAATGATTTTAAATTAACTTTAAAATATTTTTAAAATTTTAAACCACACTTTTAACATATTAGTATGATAAAGGTAACACACATTTCCCTTAGTTATCCAATAATATATATATACATACATAAAACTGAAGAATTAAAGAGGATGTGAAAATGGAAAAAATCATAAAAACATACTGCATCATGGTAGTTAATCAAAAAAATCATAAATAGAAAGTTACCTCAAGTTAGCTCATTGCTTAAAGACGACTCACAAAATGCTAACTAAAATTGACAGTTACAACTCCTGACAATATTTTTTTCAAAACAGTATCATAACAAAAATAGTTTTTGGCACTGAATACAACTTGGTGGAAAGTACAAGCAGCATAATAATCAGCTAATATAAGAAGAATCATGCTATGCTAATATACAGTTCAATCAATGGAAATAAATTGCTCTAAAAAGAGATCAGTTGAAGGCAACCAGCAGTTATTTAGTGAAATTGCTTTTAACGTATACTGAAAAATTAAAAAACAAAATGTAAAAACTGAAAAATTAAAAAACAAAACGTAAACACGTTAAGAAAAGAAATACTTGGTTAAACTATAAGAATATAAAAAGTTTAGAAGTGCAAAAATCACTTGTATTACAATTATTATGACAAAAAGACCTTTGAAAATTAATTACAAACAATAATAACTAAATTCGTTAAGTCAGAAAATAACATGACAAATTTTTTCTTAGACTTTACATAGACAAAAGGCAAGAAAAAATAGAAAATAAGTCATAACGAAAGGAATACAAATGCTTGAGTATAAAAAATTAAATGCATTTTTAAAAGTAAGAAAAATCTACTATGAAACTGATTTTTTATCTTAGCATCAAAAGAAAAGAAAATAAAATACTGCATGACTTATAAAGAAAAGCCATGTATCTGTAGTAAAAATAAAAAGGATATTTACACATTTTGTAGAACAATTTCGATAAAGAATTTTAAAAAAGCAAATGTTTTGGAATAAAAATTTCTGACAATAGCTTATTATTTGAAATAAGAAATACTGTCTGCTATTCTTAAATTTAAGCTCTTTTCAGAATGACACATGTAAATAAGCTGCGGACTGAAGGATATATTTTTGCACTTTCCGAAGAGAAACATTCCTATTCCATCATTTAAAAAAACATTGTGAAATGCACGGTGCTAAAATTTGCAAGTGCAAAATAAACAACATTATTAACCAGAAAAGAAAAACCATCAATTATTATTTCTACATGCATTGTTTCTAAAATTAAACTGTTGGTAACAACAGAAAATCTGCTGATGCTGAAATCAACTGCAAAGTTCTTATAGATATTTGCAGTAATAATAAATAAAATCATAAACTAAGATTTACAACTTAAAAAAAACTTAATGTTTACCAGCTTAACTGAGGCAAGCTGCTCAACACAGATCAATTTGTAGCACTCTACATGAAAACTACTTAGCAGGAGATAAATGGAAATACACTGTGACCCATGATGAAGCATGGGTTTTGTAACGTCAGAACACCTGTGTTGGGTGCAAGAAAAGACAGGTTGTGTTTTAAAATATTTATTTAAAAAACTTAATTAGAAATTCTTGATTAAATATTAAAATAATTTAATCATTACAGCCATAATTTAAACACACTAACGCGGGGAAGACGCTAAATTGCATCTGCTTTCACTCGTTTACAGCAACAAAAGCCTCTTACACAAAGCTCTCTTCGTTTTGTTAAAAACCTGAAAAAAAGAATAATTAGTCCCTTACGGCCAGAAACCATCCAAGGGGGTTTCCGCTGCACACTTCTTCAAAGTTCTGCTGTCCATTTTGTCTCTGAATAAAACAGGAAGTTCTCATTAAGCACCTGGAAGTCCGAGAGGTGCACATGTCTAATCATCACAATTTATCTAAATAATTGCAACAATAATAATAATAATTTTAAAAAAAGAGAAGGATAAAAAGAGAGAGAAAAAGAGACAGGTCTATTTATTATCAAAAACGAAGGAAAATTATGTAATAATCAGTTTTTATCAATGGGAAAGAGAATTTCAGTAAGGGGTTTATGACTGTTGCATGATTCTTTTATGATAGTATTTAAAATTTGATAGGAAAAAATTTAAATCAACTTAATCTACTATTCATAGGAAGTTTTATGTCCAATATTAACATAAAAATTGCATTTCTTTATCCTAAATCAGTTTCAGAGAGTAAAACTATATTTCTACGAAGTCCCCTGATGCTTCACTATTGATGACTATTGTATTGGCCTTTTGAAAAGATCTCTTTTTAATTGCAAACCCACCATGACTGATGGACTCTGGAAAGTAGTGAAAGAAGAATGGAAATCAATACCCCTGGAAATTTTACAAAAAGCCCCTCTATCATGGAAATCACGACACAGACTTATATTATAGAAAAAAGGCTATCCAATTGAACATTTAAAAAAATACTTTTTACATTTTAACCCTTTGAAGGGCACCGGTATATAATATATACTGGTTGTTTGTGAATTTTTTAACCTCGGAAAAAATTCTAATTTCTCTACACCAAAAGCTATAATTGTAAGTTTCTAGTGTTTCTTTTCGATTCTATGAATGCTTAAAATTTTGCAGTTATGAAATTAATATACTTCGTTCTAAGGTATCATGTTTAAAGGTTGATAAATTCTATTGGAGGGAAAGAAAAAATCAAAATCTGTAAATATATGACATACACATGCTGAACTTTTTATAATTACTGCATTTCAATCAAAACTGATAATTAAAAGAAGATTATGTATACATTTTTAATACCCGGTATATAATACAGTGGTGGCCAAAATTGTGGACACTTTTGGAAATTTTTATGTTTTTGAACTTTGTATGCTTATAGAAAATGTTACGTTTCGCAAAATGCAAACTTGTATATATCATTTCAAAGAGAATTTATTAATGAATTCAATACAAAACACAAAATTCAACTGCTTGCAATACAAAAAAAGTTATATGTACTTTAATATAAATAAAAAACACAGTTAAAAAGTGGTTTGTAATGTCTAGCTTTCCTGGCCAATCACTGTTCTTGTTCTGAGAACCAATCAAAATGTTATTATCTGCCAGTAGAAGCTGATATCATGTTTACACTTGAAACAATTCATTATTTTACTTTGTTCTGTAGAAGGAGGACCTGTTTCTTATACACTGCAATTACAAGTAGGAATTTTTGTAAAAATTTTTAATATTTAGTCAAGAAGCAATGACATCAAATTAAAGAGTAGATTGGACACCTAGAAAGAGATGTAATATTATTGTGTTACGAGAAAGTGGTCTTTCCTATGCTGAAATTGCAAGACGGGTGGTTCAGTGACTACATCTGGAGTCCAAAAGTTTTGTTTACAATATCAGGAGACAAATTCTATAAAAAACAAAGAAGGAAAAGGCCAAAAAAGGTGCACCACATCTATTGATGACAGAAGAATAAAAAGACTATGTCTCCAAGATAGAAAAATGTCATCAGCGGCCATTACAAGTGATCTAAATGATGGTGGTGTTTCTGTCAGTTCAAGAACAATCAGGAGAAGATTAACAGATGTTGGACTGAGAGGTAGAATTCCACGAAAAAAGCCTTATCTTAATTTTCAGCAACGAAAAAAAAAAAAAAAAAAAAGACTACAGTGGGCAAAGGAACACATTAATTGGACAGATGATCAGTGATCACAAGTTATATGGAGTGATGAAACTAAGATATCGTTATTTGGTAGTGATGGGCGAAAATATGTAAGAAGTAGAATAGGAGAAAAGCTACATCCTGACCGCATTCAAGCAACTGTGAAGAACCCAGTTAGTGTTATGATTTGGTCATGCATGTCAGCAGATGGTATTGGTCGCCTTCATGTCATCGATGGGACACTGAATGCCAGAAAATACACTGACACTATTCTAGAACCAAAACTTCTACCTTCCATTAGAGATCTCTTTCCCAACAATGCTTCGTTATTTTTCAGCAGGATTTTGCCAGGAAACAGTCCTGACCTCAATCATATCGAAAATTTAAGTCACCGTTTGAAAACTCTTGTCCGAATGAGGCGCCCATCAAATAAAACGGAACTAATTGAGGCTATTATTGCATAATGGCATCATGTAATAACGAAAGAAGAGCTTAAAACTCTTGTTCAATGAAATGTCGATGTGAAGCTGTAATCAAAAATAAAGGGTAGTACTAACTACCCTTAATTTTTACTTCTAAGTACTGATAACTCACTGCAATCATCACTATCTAATGTATATCGATAACTATTATCGTTTAACTTTTTTTGTATTGCAAATAATTGAATTTTGTGTTTTGTATTAAATTCAGTAATAAATTCTCTTTAAAATGATATATACAAGTTTGCATTTTGTGAAACGTAACGTTTTCTATAATCATACAAAGTTCAAAAACATAAAAATTTCCAAGTGTCCACAATTTTGGCCACCACTGTACAAAAGTCAAAAGTCGTTGATTCGGACACCCATAATCCGGACCTTAAAGCTACAAACTTTCTGCGCATGCGTCGCGTTGACACTTAGGCATTTACGCATGCGCGTAAGACCTTTTATGGCTGCAAATAGGCGTGTGCGCATGCGCATAATACATTTACGCATGCGCGTTTAATGTGTAACGAACAGTATAAGCTAAGCTAAAATTATCTAATTCAGTTAATGTTGCAGATTGCGTTGTTCCTTAATCTTCGAATTGGATCCGCCTTATTATTTTTTGCAGAATGTTAGAGCAATTTTATAAAAGTAAGTTTTGATTATGTTAAATAGAATTTCCGACATATATTTACTAATATGTAAAGGATCTACAAAGCGAAAGTATGTTTCGAAATACGAAATCTGTTTATCAATTTCACGCTGCTGGGGGGGGGGAGAACGCCTCGGAGTGCAATGAATTTGAAGTTGATCTGTCATCACTATCCCTAGCTTCAGGGCAGATTTTTTATTTTATTTGTCTTATAATTCCTTACTAAATATAGTATTTCTTCTTGATGTACTCCGTCTTTGATATGATTTTAAATCAAGTTTCTCGTCATTATAATTCGCTTCCAATAGTGAAGAAAACACAGAGGTTATTGAAAACGAAAAAATTTCGATTGACAAATTAGTCGGTATTCTCGACACAGCAACTATAGGACTCGAACAGGGGAACTTTGTAACTAAACAAGAAATTATGTATGTTTAATAGAATTAAAGAGAAAGTATTATCACATGAAACGAAGCAACTTAAACAATTTACTTTGAAAGAAATGTTTAATAAAGTAAACAAATAAATATTAAGCTTTTTCTTTTAGTAAATTTTGATACTTTTTAGATCATAATTGTTCTTTATTTCATAAAATACGGTTTCATATTTTTAATTTTGTAATTTCTGCATGCTATCTTACCATATTTAAACTGATGATCTGTAATCCGGAAAAATCGATAATCCGGAATCGTCGAAGTCCCGACGAGTCCGGATTAACGACTTTTGACTGTATATACTGGTGCCCCTACTGAGGGTACCTTGCCAATAGATGGCAGCACCAGGCTTCTCCTTCTCTACTGTGTGAGATGACAGCATTTCTATACATTATAATAGTTTATGATGTAATAATTTGTTTATGATTAATTTACAAGTTGTTTAGGATTCAGTATTATGTTCACGCAGGGATGGGTTGTTTACTGACCCTGCACTAGAACTGAATACAAGTATATTTGTTTCTTTTTCTTTTTTTACTCTGTGCGAGTTTCATTTGTCTCTATTCAGCTAAAATTTTAACTTCAGCACTTAACCCTTTCCCAAGAGAAAGACTCGTCGATTTCAAAATTGCCATCTGGGGTCAAAATTTTACACAATTGTAGGGGTTAAATGTGGCATGTTAGCCCACAAAAGACACCCGTTGCTTCGTGTTTTCCAAAATCCTAGAATCCACCGAAAATGAGAGGAGGTGATTGACAACTGACTTGTCATTCGGGAGTCACCTTCTTCCCTTTGTGTGGTGTTATAAGATCACACAAAGAGAAAGCTCACTTAAAAATATGGGAAATGGAAGTGCACTGAAGGTCTATCTCTTAGTGTAGTCACAAAAACTGCTGATTTGAAAGCATGCTTTTATTCTTATCGTTTTTGTTAATTTCAAATGAAAGACTAGGGAATGCAAGAGAAATTTAGGGTTAGATTACAAATAGGTTGTTTTTGAAACAAATTTCACAATTGTTGAAATGAGGGAAAATATTTCTAAGGCCCGTTTTAGATGCAAACTATAATTTATCAAAAGTTGAGAAGAAGCCCCTAGGAGACCAAAGGGGTTGAAAATCGAAATAAGAGCTTTGAGGTGTATAAAATAATAAAGTTGTTTAACGGCGTTTCTTCTTGAACAAAAAGATATATTACAACCTATATTTACAAAAAATAAAAAAAGGGCCCTTACGGTCCTCGATAATCTAAAGTGTGTGTGCATGGGAGGGGGGCAATTCTTGGTATCATAGTATGACCCATGGTTTTTTACATATTATCTAAAGCATAAAATATGACTTCAAAAATGCAACATAATTTCTCATCTGAGTCCTAGTGTTACATTTATTTATTTATTTTTTAATTTTTGACTGTTATAACTCCTTGTAATATTATACTAGTTCAGTTATAGCATGATATGACCGTGAACCATTACAGCAGATTTTAGATCACACTGTTGAAATGATTCCATTTTCATTGCATACTCAGTCTGTCACAGTAATTGGCACTTATAATTTAAATCAATACATTTAGTTTATAACGATGCATTACAAATTACCTTGTGAGGCGATATATTCTTCAAAAGAGGCATCAAACTAGCCATGTACCTCTCCTAATAATAGATACATTCAAAAAGTTAAAATATTTAAAATAAACATAATAATAACTATGAATAAGGGTATCTAATTACCCCACTTATGAAACAGATGTGAATAAATGCAAAATTCACAAGCATTAGCAATTAAATGCAAGACATTGTTCAAGAATTTTTTTGAACAAAATTTGGTGAAAAGTAAATGATTAAAGATAATTTGTTTAATTGAAGTGGTGGCATTCTTCATTCAAAGATTTGCTACATGTAATCTAGAGTCTCTGTTTCACTCTTAAACATACCTATTGCCCATTTCCTTCTGTGCACATCTACTCGCTTGGCCTTGTGCCAGCTGCCTCACCACTCACCTCAGCCAGTACGGTCTTGTCATCAACTTTGAGATTAACATACATTTCTTTTGTTTTGCTTTTAAACACATAGTTGAATTCAGTAATCAAGAGGAAAGCAGCATAGACAAGAGGACTTTATGCATAATTGACACATATATAACACATTGACACATATGTTTAACTACTAAAATGTTCATTTAGAAGTAACCCCCCCCCAAAAAAAGGGATTCTTTAACAAAGCATGACTAGTGCTAGCCATTTAAAAAACAGCAATATATCCCCCACAAGCTAATACAGGATTAAGCAGCAGACTACTATTATCAGTAGTTCAAGTACAAAAATGTGACAAAACGGAGAAAATGATTTGTTGAGGATATGGTGCAAATGTTTTTAAAAGTCAATATTCCATTGCATAAATTCAATCAACTAGCTGTATGTGATTATTTTGTAAAATACATATATGGTTCAGGCAGTCTCCCTCCTGGAGATGTTTTAAGCCTAAGTATGTACTACATTATTCCAAGAATAAAGGAGAGAAGGATCTAAAAGACAAGTAACCAATTATAGTTGTCAATAAAACATCTGGCAAACAAGACAAACATGCATTTGCAGTCTCAATAAATGTTAGGTTAGGTTAATTGATGAAGGCAAACCACCTTGAGGGCTATTTGCCTATGAGAAGGGACGCCTTTCGATAAGGCCTTTTTAATGGAAACTGGTTTGTTTCACATTACACATGGAGAAAACCATGAAAACCAACCATCTAGCCAGCCTGTTCACCAGGATGCGATCTCAAGTCAAACTATCAGTGTTCAGCGACTTTATAACTCGACCACTGATGATTCACTGATTCAGAAACAGAGCATCATATTTATATATTCATCATATTTATATTTAAGTACAGATTTCTTAGACATGATTAATTCTACTTGCTCTTAAAGCAGTTGACAGATTGAAGAAGTATGAAATAGAATGCTACCAAATGAAAGGTCTAATATTAGATTCTATGTGCTACATGACTGGGACCTTCAATTTGCTGAAAACACTTGTTAGAAATCATATTTTGTATTAACAACACTTGGTACATAAAGCGAGCTTTGAAAGTGACATATTTATAAAAAATTCAAAGAATTAAATAGTATTATCCAAAACAAAAACAGCCCCCTTTTTTAACATTCCTCAAAATGAAAAACGCATACTTAAGGTAATTAAAGGAAAGGCATTTCAACAGGCAGCAATACCTTATGCTGTATTTGTTATAACAAAAGGGAATTCTTGGTTTAATGCTACTATTTCTTGAGCAAATATATGGACCACATTATTACTTTTCTCAATGAATATGAAGATGACAACTTCAGTATCAGTCTTCTACAGGAATGTATTGAAAACGAATTTCTCTCTCATAAAATACAGCTTCAAATGGCTTTTGTTTCAGAATTTTGTCCACAAATTATGAAACTGATTCAGAATTCAGAAGGATCAAATTATGCATTTGCTTACACAGGGTTCATGGGCACATTTTAGTTAAAAAAAAATAAGCACCTATAAGCACTTTTCAAGCACATTTTAAGGAAAAAATAAGCACCTGTCTAATTACATTATATACAACTGCATAACCTTAAAAAAAAATTAGACTTGTAACTTAAAATATGAGCAAGGCAATATTTATTAAGAGAATGAGTATTGGAATTTCAGTTCAAAATATAGAAAATAAATAATAATAAGCCATATTAACTGTATTCGTTTGGCACCTAATAATAAATACAATTTATTTTTCCACTCGTATTAATATTTAAATAATTTAACTTAAATCAAAATTCTGAACATTTTCTAAATTTTCATTGCATAATAGTTTTCCCTTAACATATATTCCAAGCAAAGTAATTTAAGTAAAAAAGAGGCACATTTCTGAAATCAGAAGACGGGAAATTGCTTCATGCAGTCATCCTTTAACAGTAAAAGCTTAACTAACCCGCATACTCGGAAATTGCCGAATATTCCTCCGGATAGTCGAGCACAACTGTTGAAAAAGAGGAGTGAGGGTAGATTGTAGCCTGTTCTTTAGATTTCTCGGCTAAATAAATGATTCTGACATTTCGATATGTGCATCATATAAAAATAGACCAACGGAACTGAGAAATATTCTGCTTAGAAAGCATAATAAAACTCTTTTAAGTGTCCATAAACAATTTTGGGACTCAACATCAAAATTAATTATCTCTGCAAAATACCGCAAACGTTATTGTGCAATACGTGTAGCGTTATTCTTCTACATGTGATATTACGCAATCGGAATCAACAGCTGCCAGTATTCGGAGAATAAAGAACTAAATAAAGGAAAAGGAAGAGACTTCCTAACCTGGGGTGTTTCTGATTCTAATTTTCAACCGACTGCGTTAAATTTCTGGAATAGAATCAATCTTCGCTTGGGTTGGGTAGACCGCAAAAACTTTTAGTCCTATTCAATCCAGATTGGAGAATGACAAAAAAAAAAAAAAAAAAAAAAAAAAAGCCCGCTGCTTTAATATTAGAGATTTTGCAGAGAAAGGGGAGAATCTCCCAACCTCCGTACTGTATAATATATTGGCCAAAAAAAAAAAAATTATTTTGACTTTTATTTACGCCATTCCGAATATTATTCCTTAGAAAGCTAATCTGTGTAAAAGCACACCCATTTTTGGAAGTTTATCTATACTTCAGTAGTTATTGCAACTATATTATTATAAATATTCATTCATATGCTCATAATATAATCATAATGATCATAATAAACACGGATATGAACTGACCACGCGGAACGAGAATGCAAATTATTAAAATCTTGATAGAAATTCAAAAGTGTGTAGTACTTGGGTGGGAGGAAAATAATACTGAATGTACCGAAATTTTATACCGTTTTCGCAATTCTTTGACCAATAAAACGACGTGCACCTGTCTGTACTCTCGCACGCACCATAGGTTACGTTAATGCAGAGAAAGGGGGGAAAGCAATTTTCGAGAGTATGATTCACCATTTGACGTTGCATATAAGGAAGAAAAGTTGTTTATTTAGTTTCGCCTTTGGTACGGGGAAAAAATGCGCATTCATTAAAAAAAAAGCACTAAAAGCAAAAAAGAAATAAGGGCTTTAAATAAAAAGTAAGCACCTATAAGGGCCTTTATATTTTTTTTTTTTTCAAATATAAGGACTTATAAGCACTTGTAAGGACAGCTACGAACCCTGTTACATGTTATTATAGAGTCAGTCTTGTCTTGAATACTGAAGTAGTGATTATTTAAGGAAAAATAATGTATTTTGACAAACAAGAAAGATTATATTGATTATAGGCATAATATGATGATGACAGCAGCAGAGATATTTTAAATAAACTGACTTTATGTTATTGAATGCAACAAATGAATCATATGAGCATATTTGTAAATTATTTTGTCCACTTGGTAGTTATAAGCACTTCAATGAAGCTTTGAAGCCAAATTTATCACTAGAAAGCTGGATAAAAAGTTTTTATACTGAACCTCTTACAGTAACCAATCAACACATTTATGCTGATGTCATATGGATTCTTAAAGCAACAAAATTCTGTCACAAAAACTTTGCAACACCTATTCAAAGCCTTCATAGTCCCATTAAAAGCACAGAGGCTCCGACATATTTTAGTATTTATAACACTGCAATTACACACTGAAGAGACAGACACGAGACATGGAATACCGAAATTAGCCTTATTTTAGCCTTATTTTCCTCTATGTTATTGCAGCAATTTATTTGATTACAGTTGGTTAAGAAAAGCAATTTTCCCCCTTCAAATAAATGTGACATTTTTCAGTTTTGACTTTAATCAACAACAACAACAACAACAACAACAACAACAACAACAACAACAACATAATAATAATAATAATAATAATAATAATAATAATAATAATAATAATAATAATAATAATAATAATAATAAAATAATAATAATAATAAAAGAAATTATGGATTTCTGCTTATGTTTTATGTTATGTTTTACACAACTAAAAAATTTATAGCAAACTTAGTTTGCATAGCTTAATATATATTGAATGATATCTGCACTTCTGAATTTCTTACAAAGCAGAAGAATGTAACATAGCAGAAGGAGATATAAACTGAATTACGCTGTAATGAATCGCAATGGAGAACTAAGAACGGCAACCAGTTCCTAAAATCTAAACAAATGCCCAACTCCTGAAGTGCTTTAATAAATAACTCATCTGTCACTGTGTCCTCCTTGAAAGAAAACTTCCTGCCTTCATTTTTTGAATGTTTAAATATTAGAAAAATAGAAGCACTATCAAAGTGATAAAATAACTTTTAGAATAGTTCACTACAGCAATAGATGTTATTTTTGTGGCTGCAGACAAATAAGACTAAAATGCATTGTAGAAATGAATATAGGAGTGAAATTGAATATTCATTAGCAAAAAGGATACATGGAGGTATAATTTCTAACACTAGGAGAAAAAATAAAAACAAATTCAAAGACACTTGTTATGAACATACAGCATAGACTCCAACCTTCAGCAAACCTTGTCAGTAGTCAACGCGCGAACGACATTTTTACAACTTTGAAAATGTGCGCGTAGCGTATGTTGTAATTAACCATTCATTAATTTTAAATTAATAATTAATTGTAATCAATTTTATTACATTTAAAATCCATATACATATAAAACTGAATAATTAAAAATATACCTTGTAAATTATATGCACATTTAATTAGAAATTTTCTTTTAACTCCTCAAGCATTCACTAATAAAAGTACTTCAAATCACTACTAATCATAGAAAAAATCAGAAGCTATAAATCATATCTTTATTCTGGATATGATTTCTACAGGGAAATAAAATTTAAATAATCAAGAATGATACATATAAGTATTAAACAAAATACGCATAATTTATGAATGCAAAGATTTATATGTAGCATGCTTAGCAAGCTTAAGTTCTGATTTTGAGAATGTTTTTTTTATAACACAGTTCTTCATTTGCCTGCATATTTATTTTTTCAATCAAACTGCTTCAAGAGTTTTAAGACCTAAATTTGGTCGAAATTCCGTCTGATTTTTTTTAACAATAGAAAAAATTCTTTCGCAAGCTGCATTTGAATGAGGTATTATTAAGACAGCAAGCATTACAGAAGGCAATACTTTGTATTTAATACACCCATTCATATTTTTTAATTTGGCAATTTCTCCCCATGCTATATCAATACGCAAATCTACAATTTCTTTCAAATCATCTACTTGATACATGGAAAATTCAATTTCTACTTGATTAAGACATTTTTCATCAAAAATGGATGGAAAAGTATTCATCAAGATTATGTTCAATTAAAAAACGAACAAAATAGCATTCGGCTTTTATAGGATCTGTTTCATCATCTTTTATTAAGAAATTTGTTATTTCTTTAGATTTTACGGTGCCAAGTTCTATATGCTTTTGAGAAACACATGCCGTTTACAGTCATCTTTTTCCGCCATGAAAAACTGAGAAGTCTTTGTTGCATACACTGCAGTGTGCGTGATTCACAGAATTTCGGACGCTTTAATGCATGGAAATTCTGAAGAATATGAATCTTTGAACTTCTGCTTTGATATTTTGGCTTCTTCGTTCGAGGCAGCATATGATTAAAAATCTTTCCACCTGATTCACAGTTCACAAGACAACCACGCTAAGCTCTCGCCGTAAACTACACAATGCAGCCGAATGCAGCCTAAACACACATCAGCGAGGAACCTGGGAGACAGACAATTGGGTGGAACTATTGATAAGTCGTTAACGGTTGGAGTTACTGATCTACGATTGGCTAATTCTTCAAAACTAGGAACGCACTCAACACGTGATCTATGATAACACGAGTATTCAGCCAATCATCGGATGAATTAGTTGGTTCCGTTTTGCGTACTGGTTCTCCTGCTCTTGTTTCTGTAAAATCTGTAGTTTTTTCCATACTTTTCGTAGCTCGTAGTTTTTCATGAATTTCCGTAGAAACTACGGAGAATCCGTAGTAGTTGGAGTCTATGCATACAGTAATGAACAATGTGCTGATCTTTCTATGAACTACATCAACTTAAAAAGAAAATCTAAAGCGTATAATGAAAAATTCATATGAAGAAATATTTCAGGAATTCAAGGACAGTGAATTACATAACAGAATAAATAAATAAAAAAAAAAAAAAAGAATTGTGTTTGAATAAAAGTATTAAATTAAAAAAAAATAAGTATTAGAAAAGGTAAAATTACATTTGCCTAAATTAAATAATAATAATAATAATCATCATCAAGTCCATAGATGTGCAAAAAGAGTGACTTAACATTTTTTAAACTTTACTTCTTTTTTTTAGGGAGGGGGGTCCTTTTATTTATTACGTTAAAAAGTTTAAAAAAAAATCTGAAAGCTTTCAGATTTTAGATTACGCCTGAAGGTGCATTTTTTTATTTCATTTACACACACATACATGTTTCGAGAGCATATGAGCTGATGTTCCTTAGGGTTAAAAGTATTTAAAAACAGTATACCTTGAGAATTTCCAATAGACAGTCTTGTGCGCTGGAGGAGATAGAATTTTTTTTTGTAAAATGTTGTCATTTCTTGCTTAAAAATTTTGTACAGTGTTGTCATTGCTTGCTTAGAGTTTGATAATAAAAAAATTTGTTAAAGTTTTACAAAATATGAAATAGACAACGAAACAAATTCCAAATTCGGGCTTCCGGGTACTCATATTGGGGTGAAAGACTAAGTTATTCAAAATTTGGTGGCTCTAGGTACCATTGTTTTCCCAAAATGGGACAAATGTTTGAAAAGTGAAATGGACATTTATAGTGAGTCGAAGAAAAATGCTGTTTCAAGACAAATATCCTTTCTGGGCTAATGCCCATTTGGCTAAAACGATGATGCTAATGAATGATATTTTGCATTACAAATATACAATTTTATTACAAACAAATGTAAAAGTGTAGTAGAAATCAAGAGGTCAGTATATAATGAATAAAACCTTTTGAGACAAAATTTTACAATAAATGGTGATGCGATTAGTGAAACATTTACCAAAGGAATCATAAAACTCTGAGTAAGTTCTAAAAGATAGTGCCTTAGAAGAGTATTCTGTACTTCACTTGGTTGATCTGTTTGCATGCCCTGCGAAAAAAATATTCCGTGGTAAGATCTGTCATATGAAATCATAACAAATTTTACAGATGATGAAAAACTCACATTATTCTTTTAAAATTCTTATTAAGTAAAAGAATAAAGTTTAGCTTTTTTTTCCAACCTATATTTATTCTAAATAGTTTATAAAATTTTGTCATTTTCAAAGTAAACTGATATACTTCAAATGATAATATATCAAAATTATTAATTTTGAATGACAAAAAAAGATTTAAAAACACAAAATATTAATAGATATTAATGGTTTTTTACATTTACAATACAAATTAGAAACAGCAAAACCATATTAGAACTCAAACAGAACACAATTAACACAGGCACAGAAGCACTTTACATAGCAAATCAAACTTTAAAATTTAAAAAATAAATAAACAAATAATAAAAAAATTGTGATCTACCTTGAATATCCTTTTTAAGATATCCTTGTCTTTACTGAGATAGGGCTTATACCTTGTATATAAACCTATTTTAAATACAAATATATGTGTTACACAAGCATTTCAAAATATTTTAAAAGGGAAAAAATATAGTTTATCAGAAATTAAATTTTTTAAAATATTAAGCTGCAATGCATAAATTATTGGGTTCTTGCAAATGAAATGGCCAAATCTAAAGATCACTGAAAATAAAAAGAATACCTGTTTAATCAAAGTAATGGTAAATAAAATTAAAAAAAAAAATACCTGTTTAATCAAAGTAATGGTTTATAAAATAAAAAAAAAAGTACCTGTTTAATCAAAGTAATGGTTTGGCTTATGTGATTATAGCCCTTATACCTTTCCTTAGACAGTTTCAAGAGCTATCTATCTAATGGGAGGGATGCCTTTGTGGAGGACTTTCTAAAGAAAACTGTCTCATATACATGTTATGCATGAGGAAAACCATGAAAACAAACATGCAGCCAGCCTATTTGCGGGATTCGAACATCGGACCGAACTACCAATGTTTAATGAACCTACCATTCAACTGCTGGTGGGCCCTTAATCAGAGTAATATCTAGCAGTATTGATACATTGTTATGAACATGTGCCAAGGTCATTCAGATTACTTGTTAAAATCAGTACCTCAGGAAGTGACGAACTACCCACTAAATTGATGCATCATTGGCAAAGCATTACTTGGAAAAAAATGGGAGCAATCTGCTGTGTAAATATCCAGAAGAATATGAAGGACAAAACATAATTTCACATCCCAAACTGTTGACGTGCTGGATGTTTGATGCTGCTGTATGTAACCAGGCATTACTCTGAAGCAACAAAACTCCCTATGTATTTACAAGTGCTCATTGCTTTAGGCACAATTCGACATGCATTTGCTATATGTCCATATAATATTGAGCTACATTTATCATTTCACCTCGTGGAAGGAATAAATAGCGAGTAACACGATCAGAAAACCATCATACAATAAACAAAATCTTTAGATGAAAATACCTCAAACATCTTTTGCCCCCAGCCACTGTGACAAACATGTGCTATTTTTATAGAAAATGCACTTCTCATTCATAGTTATAATTCATTCGGCGTATCATCCAGGGTGCGAGGAATGATGTTACAATATTTTAGAATGAAACGTTTTCCATTCTTGGCAAACAGGAGGAGGTGTGAAATCATCATTTGTCTCCAGATGCTGATAACCCTAGCTACAACTCTGAATTTAGTGCATGAATCTTTCTTCCCTATTACATCTTAAAGAGAGAACAGGGCATTTCCAAACACTGTACTTTCTTATCATCAGTGAGTTCATAAGGCATCCATTTGCTGAACTTCCTTACTTCTATTATTTCTATATAAACAGTTCAAAAGTATATATTTAGTATCTGGGTGATCCAATATACATGGATCTGGTTCAATTAAATCATTTTCATTAATGAAATCAATGAAAGAAGGATGATGACTACAGGATTTGTTTTGCAGCTTCAAATCTGAGAAAAATCTGGAAACCGACAGTGAGATCTCTCATTAGCTGTTCCTATACCAAATTATTTATTAGTGTCTTTTATTACTGCCATTGCTGAAGTGTGTGAATTAGTGTCTTTTATTATTGTCATTGCATATTAAAATTTACAGCAATCTTAATAGATCAATCAAGGACTGGATTCCCTGGCTGACTTAATGTCAACAGTAGTATTTGATGTTTATTATACATTGATCAAAACATATACTACAAATGTATCTCTCATATGCATTGTGTTCTCATATAAACAAAAATTTTCTGAAACCTAAATATCTGCCTTTTTTTTTTTTTTTTAACCAGTAAAAACTTGACGTTATTCAATGGCCATTTTAGATGCAACAACCCAATATTACCAAGAGAATAGTAATTAAAAAAGAATACAAACTTTTATTCTCAGGTTCAGTAACAAATTATAAAGATAAATTATAGTACATAATCAGATTTTCTATTATGGTTTCATTTATATTTATTTTTCTGGCTATTTGTTTAGGACAAATTCCAAAATCAATTTCTGACAGATTTCTACTTGTTGATTTTTGTGAAATTTGCACATATTTGCAATAATAATGCAATATTTTACAGCAACTTTTTTTTTTAATTAATACAGTTCTTTTTTTTTAGTTAAAGGTATGGGTAAATTTTTAAATAATTTTTTACACATATCCTTGCTTGATAATCAAATTCATCGTCAAAGAATATTGATCTTTTCAATATCAAATGTATAAAAAAATAACAACAAAATTTAATGTTTTTTCTCACACGGATTAAAAGATGCTAAAATCATGATTGGTAACTATGAATGTGGGACTTTGAACAAGGATGGATTTTTAAATAAAACCTGCCACACACACACACACACACACTATGGTTGGGCTATGGTGGAAAATGAGACATATGCTGCCACACCACCAAACCGAGAACCCTATGAAGGAATTGGAATTCTGGAAATCTTTTTACACCAAAATTCTTCAATTAGCTTCAGAATGATGATACAACTCGTAAAATTTTAAAATTTCTTTTATTTAAGAAGTCCAGAATTTGCAAGGAAGGTGAGGATCCTATATACACACATCCTCTTTTGGTTGCATAAATAAACACAGCTGTGTGATTGTCCTCTTTTGATTGTATGAATAAAAACAAATGTGTGTGTTCTTATGTCCTCTTTTGATTGTATAAATCAGGGGTCGCCAAAGTGGTCTATATAGACCCCTAGGGGTCTATTTAACAACAGTAGGGGTCTATCTGACCCAAGGGGTCGAATGGGGGTCTATTGGGACTCGAAGGAAAAACAGTTCTTAATACGCAAATAACACAAATCTAACTGCGTACGTAAAAATTTAAAATATTTTTATAATTGACTTAATATTATATTTTTTATAGAAAATAAAATAATAAATCAGAAAACAATCTGCCCCTTTTTTCCTTATGGGTTTTCGTATGTATACCGTGATGTCACAACTTGACCTTGTGACCAGTTTGTAATTTGCACGACTCATAGTATGTAGCCAGAAGAGCGATTGAGGCTTATCCGTGTCTCTTGCTGGCGAACCCATCAACCAATTAGGAGCCTTTGGTGCAGACTTTGCAAGCGACGACACTGCAAGACACACATCTTGAAGCAAAAACGCTTATTAAAAATTTGACAATACATAAATTTTGGACTAATATAAATATAAAGCAAAAATATGTGAAACTTTACGAAATGGATCAGCCATTTATGCTGGCGTTTCCAAGTTCAAGCCGGTTTCAGTCATGTTAATTCAATTTTAACTAAAATCAGAAATAAATTAAATGTAGAGCTTCGAGGGGATTTACAGTTAAAATTGACCAATTTCGAACCCAATATAGCGAACCTTGCCAAGAAACACCAGGCACACTCATCTCATTAAGAAGTAAAAAATCTGTAGCTACTTTACTTACTGTTTCTGATTTATTAAATATTTAGACTAATATATAGTTTTACTTTAATTACCTGAAAATTACCTTTGTGGGGGTCTATGGAGATTTCGAAAAATTATATAGGGGCGATGATCAAAAAAAGTTTGGCGACCCCTGGTATAAATAAAGACGAATGTGTGTATTCTTATGTCCTCTTTTGACTGTATATATAAAAACAACTATCATTAACAGTTCTTTTTTATTGCAAGAATAAATACAAAATATAACATGTTTAAAACCTGTATAACACATTCCTTTAAATCATTTTGAGATGCATGATTTATTGATAATTGTAATGAAAGGAGTAATTTATAATAGCGATTTTGAGAATCATCGACCATTTAATTCTTCGAAATTCATCAGTTAATAAATAAAGACTAGTCCTTAGTGATAAACGTGAGTAATACTAAAATATATTATGAGGCTTAATCATTAGTTCCAATTATAGTTTCATATGAAGTTAAAAAATCACATTAAGCCGCAAAGAAGTAATAAGATTTCAGAGAAGATTTCACAATAATTAGAACATATTTTGCACTTTTAGAAAGTAATTTGAGTACTTAAACTTTTTTTTTCCATACTAATCTCTCCTATTGAATAAATCCCTACCGGTAGAATAGTTTTTCCAATCTTTTGAAGTTACAAAGAGAAAGCATAACATGAACAGAGTAAAGTGAGAAGACTTTCTTGAGTTTTAGGAACAATTTCTGCATTGCAGAGCTCCGATTTCGGATGCCCTCAAAAATGTATTTATAAAATATTCAGGCATTTTGCGAATATTTTTTGAATTTTAAATGTAATTGTTGCAAATTTTGTATGCTCCTCCAAACAGTCATCATGGTGTTTTTGAGAGATTTTGAAATATCTACTAAAAATCAACTAATCGTGGTTTCTAGACATGTGTTCAGAACTTAAGTAATTTGATTGAATTCTATGCGTCTATTTTACTTCTCGTTACTTAACTTCAATGCATAAAGAGAAATGTAACCTTATCATACTTTTATAAATATTTCCCTTCATATACATTAATTTACGCGTATGCAGAGAACGAAAAATTATTTGATTATTGAATTTATTTCTATTGTGATTTCAGAAAATAGTTATGTAATTATACGGAAGCGAATTCATGTCTACATTTTCCCAAATCCAAAAAAATATGCACCAATTTTCGGATGCAATCCTAAATGGAAAAACTGCATTAAGGGTTTCAAGGTTATTCTTTATGTTATATTTTTGTTCGTGAACGAAGTAAAGGGAATATTGTAATCTTATTTTGACAAAAATATCAATTTTGATTTCTTTCGAACCCATATGAATGAATTTTTTTTATGACATAGGTACACTGCTTAAAAAAAAAAAAAAAAAAAAAAAAAAAAAAAAAAAAAGAGGGACACTGCTATATCTCCCGTTCTACTGGGGCGATTGACAAAAATTCAAATTGCGTTTTACATGTCTCGAAAGTGCGACTTAGGATATATATTAGATTTATATATAGCACTATTCTAACATAGGTATTTTGACACAAAATCGAACTTTTTCTGAAATAACATACCAATTTTTTTCCATATTTCGATTCTAC